AACACATTCAGATCAATGATCTTAACGGCCACTAACTGTGTCTCATCTTTACAAGTGTTTGTGTTTTTGCAACTCATTTGTGCCTTAAATACCATAGCAGTGATTCCCTTATCTAAATAATCCATTATTTTTATCCCTTTCTCCAGAAGATATTCTTTCACTTGAGTTGTCGTTTCTGTCATTACATCAAAATGTTTGTACAAATATTCAGTTTACTGTTAATTATTTCAATTCCTACTCTAATGTGTAGTAAAAAGTTTATTTGATTGTCAATTGAATTTGAAAAATACTCGAGACATTACACATGTATTGTCATGTATTAGCAATAATTGTATTTTGAGTGCATTTAGTAATTGTGAACATTTTCTTCATCAATAACTGTAAAGATTACAACATTAATACGGTTTGTAATTAATGTTTGTAATGTGAAAAGTAATTAGTTTTTGTCAACAATTTTAACAGTAAACTACTGTTACTGAATAGGAGAGCGCGACTCAACTGTAGTTAATAATTGTTTTAACAATTGATTCAATACTTATCGCACGTAAGTATAGATTAAGTTATTTAAAACTTATTGTGAATTGAAATCAATTCAACGAATACTTGTATAGATTTGAACCAATTGTCGACAAACTCTTCATTTGTGTCACAAGTTTTGTCTTCACTTTCATCGCAGACATGAATTTGTTATTTGCCATAATTTTGATGCAAATGTTTATATCGATATTTGGGGGCAATTTTAGTGACAATTTAAGGAGCGTTTGTCTGAAGTCTACTCGCTTTACAGATCGGTTGGATTTGTTGAAAGAGTTGACCAAAAATCGGCCAAATGTACAGCACGTCCACCACTCCCAGCACTCCATTGGCTTTCATTTGGATCATAAGAAATGCAAACAAGTGTTGAAAATTAGTGGTCGAGAACTCATTGACATATCTGTGACGGCATTCCTCTCCGAATACGAGAAATACCTCTTCCTTTTCGTCGACGTTTCGGTCAAACACTCAAATCATAGCAATAGTGGCCTCAATAGCACTCAAGCCTTGTTTCGTATGGATTTTGGATCAATTGACTACAGTCTTGGCGTGAACATCGGCCAAATGCTTGTGTTTTGGATGAAAAAAACGGAAATTAAAAACAATGAATACATCATTGAGTACAACAAGAACTTCAAGCAACGGATCCAAACCCATGGTTTCGCAGACGATATGATTGAGGAACAGTTGCTTATCACTGACTTTGATGGCAGTGAAGATATACTGGTGTCGGCAACACAAGCCATGTCTGTCGGCGATATCACTTTGAACGGGTCTTATCTGATAGTTTGTGGACAACTAAACGGGAAAAGCTATACTTTTGACAAATGCAAACCAATACAATCGGACGAATACATCAATTGTGAATGTAGTGGAAGACTAGATGAATATATGGGCGACATGTATGTCATTGTTATCTTCTGGGGAGTGGTTCTGATACTAGCGATGCGTCCGTTAATGGAAATCGTGAGAGAAGAGGGCAAAAGAGGAAACAAAGTTTACTATCAGTTTGTGAATTGCAATGAAAGGAATGGTGAGCACAGATATGCTCTCGTTTTTCGTTTCGCAAAGGGGACCATCGATTTCGACCTCAAAGACATCGTTATTGACGTCGAGTTCTTCGGTGAGAGCAACGAAAGTGTTGGTAAGCAATGGATTAATTGATTAAGCGATTGACTTCTAATCCTTAAACCACTTCCAGCGCCACAAATGCGATTTAAAGCCGATTTTCTTGAGACAAAAACAGTGGTCGATATACAGATAACTCAGATACGAATGACAAAACTGCCAAAACTGACACGAGTTGTCTGCAGCCATAACGGAGACATGGAGTCGAAGATACTTTTGATGGGCGTCTTAGTGAAGGGCATTCATAATGATAGAGAACGACTGGATTGGTTTCCCATCCGGAAGAATATTATCAGAAATAGCAGACAATTCAATCTGAGAGCCAAAGATCCTGAAACGGACACCAAAGTGGAGACACCCCTCAGACACATATCCATCAATCAGATCAGCCTATCATTCCTGGAATTACTTTGGATTGTATTCCTCGACATCTCATTCATCGCATCTCTGGTCGTATTCATGCCGTTACCGCTGCGACAGTCGTATAGCATAACAGAGGAGATGGCAGTCACCGTCGGTATCATCACTCCTGTGGCCATTGTTTTTCATACACTAGTCGTTGTTCTCTACAAATATATACTTGTATTACAAATGAGACAACAGTTGGCACTGAGCGCCACCGCCGAGAACAATATACAGCGAGCGATACTTGTGCTGTACATCACATCCACAGCACTAGCGATGATATCAGGGATGGCAGTCGTGTATCGCCACAAACACAACACATTCCTCGAGACGTATCAGTGGTTGTCTTGCGATCTGTGTATCACTGGTATACTTGTGTTGGTTTACTCAGTGGTCTCGACGCCTATGGAGTGCAAGTACTCGACGGCCGACACAATCTGTTTAAACCATTTGCGGACCGCATTCTCGTCCAATCCGTCGCCCTTTTCCAGTAAACCCATCAAATCTCCGCCGTCCGCCAAATCAGTCACAATAAACACATACCTATTCCTCCACTCAAACACTTTGTGTGTTTTTATGATAAACTCGTGGCGAATCATATTCACGATCTGCACCTCACGAGGAATGTATTTGTCTTTTATTCTCACTTCCAACAGATCCAGATCTATTATCTTCACGGCCACTAACTGTGTCCCTTCTTTGTCAGTCTCGGGATCTTTGTATTTCATCTGTGCCTTAAATACTACAGCAGTGGTTCCGTTAGTTATATAATCCATTAATGTCAGTCCATTCTCCATAAGATAGTCTTTCACTTCATCCGTGGGTTCTGTCATCACATGAAATAACTGTCCAACAAATGGTAATTAGATTTTTATATAATTAACACATAAATTAATAATCAATTCAATTGTTATAATACTGTTAAAAATCATGTGTAGTATTAATAATTGCATTTTACGTGAATTTATTGGCATTTATTTAAATTTAAATTCAAAACAATAGAAAAATAATGTATTTTAAATTCATATCGATTCAAAAACTATTGAAATATCAATTGTAAAAACCGTTGATTTTAGTCAAACGATACAAATAACTGTAAAATAGATTCAAATTTCATCTTCAGTTTCATTTGTGACCGAAAAACAGATAACCCATTGATTACCCACTGTTTGATCAAATCATTTGATAACTGCACACAATTATTGACGATGTGTTGTGAAACCTTCTGGTATTACATCTGTTGCTGTGGTTTTTGGCGCACAACTGAGAGCGGAAACGGTGGACGAAAACCTAGTCGATCGTCGAAGAGTCGGACTGATAGACGCCGTTCGCGGACCAAAGCTAAACCAGAAAAGCGGAGTCCGACGACGACCGGCACCAAAAGGTCTACCGTTAAAGTGATCGATAAGTCGTTGTCTAAGATGACCGAAGACGAGATTGGTTGCGTTCAATTGGCTCCGGGAGTCGACCCAATCGTTCATCTGAAGAGCCAGGGCTACGATTTGACGAGCAATGAGATAGGGAAAGGCGGCTATGGAAAGGTTTACATGGCGTATACGAAGTTACCGCAGGAGACGGCACCGACAGACAAGCCATCGCTTACTAGTGAGAAACCGTCCGAAAAGGCGGTCACAGATGCGACACCAGCTGAGACACCCGCTGTATCGCCGCCAAAACAGGTCAACACTTTGGTCGCGTGTAAAGTGATTGAGATTAAAGAAGACAGCCCAAGAAAGACGAGTCTCAAGAAACAAATGCTCCACGAATTGTATTCACAGAGAGCTCTCAGTCATGAGTTTGTGGTCCAAACTTACGCCGCGTTTGTCCTGTCTTTTGCTGAACAGCCCGGCGGTCCACTCCAGACAAACGCTTATATATTTATGGAGTACTCAAAAGACGGCGATCTCGAGGCAGAGCTCAAAGGAAATAAAGGACCGCTCGACGAACCGACAGCCAAACACTACTTCGGACAGATAGTGTCCGGTATGCGATACATCCATAAGAACGGGAAAGTGCATCGCGACCTCAAACTCGCTAATGTGCTCGTATTCCCGGCCAGAGGCCAGTCGGGAAAGGTCTGCAAACTCACTGACTTTGGTCTGTTAGACACCGCTTACAAAGACGAGACCGGATACGAGAGGGATACCCGAATGGTCGGCACCCGTGACTATTGGTGTCCCGAAATTCTCAATAATGTATTGTCGACAGCAAAGGGCGAACCACTTAAGAAATATGACAAGTTAGCGGCCGACTGTTGGGCGCTCGGCGTTATTGCCTACCGCTTACTGACTAACAAATTTCCGTTTCAAGTGCCGATGAACCCCAAGAGTCCCCACCGCGCGGCGATCCCTTCAAATCAAGAGTATATCTCTGAGCTCACGGAAGTTATTACCAAAATGACCAAAAAAGACATACCGTTCCCTAAATCCATACCAATAGGCTCTCACTCCTGGGATATCATCACCCGATGCCTCGATCCACGTCCCAACCATCGCGTGAGGATTGATAATATCATCGCTTCCCAGTGGTTATACGGAGAGACCAGTTTGACACCTCTTCGACTCCTTAAGAAATAGCACAGCCTTTTGGACACCGTTTAGCCGATTCTCGTTGTATTTGTTTTATTTTCGGCTAAACTATTGATTTAACTAATTATAGAATCAATTGCTTGTCTCTCTGTTTAGTNTGACACCTCTTCGACTCCTTAAGAAATAGCACAGCCTTTTGGACACCGTTTAGCCGATTCTCGTTGTATTTGTTTTATTTTCGGCTAAACTATTGATTTAACTAATTATAGAATCAATTGCTTGTCTCTCTGTTTAGTGAACAATATTTTCAATCCATACATAAATTCAATACATTATATATAATAACCAATCGTTTTGTAACTTTTTACTGAAATAAATATTTTTTGAATTTTAATTGAAAAGATTTAGTATATTATTTATTCGGCGTTTAATTAAAAAACTATTTGTTAGCGAGTTTTATCATAATATGATTTAATTTAATCACAATTTAACATATTATAAACTTAATTTGTTTTGTATCGTTTGTATTGTTAATTGAACTTTATTTCAACTAAATCTGTTTGTTTGTAAAGTTAATTGTATTTTTAATGTAATCAAAATGGATGTATGATTTCCAATACAATTCAATGTAAAAGTAAAGAACAAAAAGCATTAAACTTACGAAAACCTCAATAAATCCATCACTAAATGAGTTTAATTTGCATATTTTTAAAGGACTATCAAATCAATGGACATACAAATGGTATTCAACACATCATTTTTTACATTAAATTGTATAAAACAATCAAAACTACAATCATTAGAAATATTCAACAGCTATTATTTATTGATATGAACAAGGTTACACATTAAACATTTGAATGTCAAATAAATTATAACAACTTCTAATGAATCGAAAAATATATAATGTAATTTTATTTAGAAATTATTGAATGATAATATTCGTGGAAAAATATTGATAATATTGTTTTAATGAGAAATTATATTCATTTTATTTGTTGTAAATCTAATCCTTAAACCACGGATGAGATAGTATTTGAGAGCTTCTGATTCGTGAGAAAGGGTTTGGATTAAGCAATTGTTTCAATAGACTGAACAGAGTCTCATTGTCTTTATAATTGTCGGGTAGTGACCACTTCTCCTCCATTATCCTTGCCTTCAGTTTAATCCTCCCCTCCATAGACCTGACATCAGCGCCCGAACCGAACGGAAAGTTACGGCTAATCATTACAAACAAAAGCACTCCTAAACTGAAACAGTCGGACACTAACGAGTCGACCGGTGTCTCGGCGTTAATGGCTTCGGGCGACTGATACTCCAAAGTACCGCAAA